ATCTTGAAAGCCTGCCCAGACATGCACAACTCGAACATATCGAAAATTCTCGGTAAGCATACCCGATCCATATCGTTCATTTCTGACTACAATTGATACTTAATTACTTTAATTAAAATAATTACATCTACCAATTATTTATATCACAAATGTATTACATCATCAATCAATGTAACGCAAATGTAAAATTTCGTAAATGCTAAAACCCAAAAATAATTTAAATGACGCATTCGCAAGCAGAATGCAATGACAGATTGATGTGTTTTTTGTGTGTGTGTGTGTCTGATTTGATTTAATTTACCGATGAAAAATTATATTATCAAAAAATACGAAACGTTCTCCACTTCAACGCGCTTTTTTTAATATCAATTATAGGCGCCCGGTGGAAGGCGATGTCGAACTCGGAGAAGCAGCCGTATTACGAGGAGCAGTCGCGGCTCTCGAAGCTGCACATGGAGAAGCACCCGGACTACAGGTACCGACCGCGGCCGAAGCGCACGTGCATCGTGGACGGCAAAAAGATGCGCATCTCCGAGTACAAGTCGCTGATGCGGCAGCGACGGCAGGAGATGCGGCAGCTGTGGTGCCGCGACGGCGGCACCGAGATGAACTTCCTGTCGCCGGTGAGCGCCGATATGACTGGCACGCAGCATCACCCGGGCACGGGCGCCGGTCCGTCAGCACGGCCGTCGGTCTCACCGCCGGCGACGATGCTGAACGGCGGCGGTGGCGCCGCCGGCCCGAGCTCAGACCATCCCTTCTACTATCCGCAGGACAGCCTGTCGCCCACGGACATGATGAACTTCTCGCCCGAGAATTCCGGCTCGATCGGCGGCTACGACGCGAGTCCGCGGCATCACGACGAGGATTGAACCGCGGCTCCGGGTCCGCCACTTTGGCCGCCCGGAGCATCAGCGTCATCATCGTCGGCAGTGGCGGCGGCAGCGGCGGCCGCGGCGACCGCAGCGGCCGCGTCCACGTCGAGGCTCGCTTACGAACTCTTCTGGTAATTGGAATCGTTCGTCTCGGTGTGACGACGACGACGACGACGACGACGACGACGACATCGTGTGTCTTTGAATCACACGTGGCATGTACTCACCGCGAATCGCGGGAACGAGTCCGCGAGCCGTGTTACGAGTACTCCGCACGACGGAAGCGAACTGGAAGAGGACACTACTTCTCGGGGAAAGAAGAGTCGGGCGTCTCGAAACCTCTCGCCGGAGGTTGTGATATAACGTTCTATCTCTGTGCCATCGTACGCGAAACGCGAAGGACCTATCCACGAAGTTAAAAGCGCGAGAGCGTCTCCGTCGCGACATCGCTCGATCGTCGGATCTTTTTAGCTCTTCGGTGCAAACTATCGAAAAAATAGTTATGTGTATTCGCAGTACGCAATCAGTTAGTTCGTTTGATTTTGTATCGAATATGTGTACGCGGATCTCGATACAGTGTTCCACAAAACGGATACAAGCTCATATAGGCTGTCATATTGCACGAAGCAACGCCGTTAAATTCGTAAAATATTTTAACGACATCGTCTGATGTCCAATTCGCAATGTTCAGTTGACAAGAAAATACACTCAACTATTCCTCTGTAATGTGCTTTGGATATGTTGTGTAATATAAATCCAATAATTTAACACCAAATTCAGTTACATATATTAAAGTTGTTTTTCGAAAACGTATCTTGCCGAAAATTATCTAGAAAGGAAATGAAAGAAAAGAAGAATTACTCGTCTTCTCATCGGATTTTATTACGTAGCCGATATCACGTACACACTGCAACACAATGCATGGTTAAAGAGTCGTATTTCTCTTTCTCCTAGTTCGTATAATTCTACAGCTACTACTACTAGTGCTATACGTATTTTACAAAATAAACTTGGAGATAAAAAAAATGTTGATATACAGTAAACAAGTAATTAATTTAATTTTTGCAATAAATTGTTGGGAACATTTTAACAAATCGATAAACGTTTTGTGCAGTAAAATTAAAATTACTTGAATGTGTCAATCTTTCATCTTCTAACTTATGTTGGAATTTTGATATCAATCTGTCCGTCGTCATACCTAGAAATTATCATACACAACTGAATTTGGTGTTCTTTAATTTTTGCTATTAGATGTTATAAAAAATGCTCTTTAATTTTTAATTTTAATGCTATTAGAGAGATATGTATAATGCGCGAGATTATAAAAGGATTAGTAGTATAAAAGAGAGATTATAAAATAAAATTTTTGCCGATATTTTGTCAGAAAGAAAAATAATTTGTTTTAAAATTATATTTGAATTTCTTAATGTTAAATACTTCAAAAAATTTATCTTTTATTTTAATGTATATCATAATGTTCATATCCAAAATTCATTAAAATCAAGGAACAGAGAAGCAGTTGAGTTTCTTTGTAAATTCTTTATTTTTAATAAAAATTTAACGATCTGTATTTGCATTATTTCACATTTTTCAATTTTTGGATTTCCTCTCGCAATACAACATTACTTCAAATACCCGTATCGAGAGAGATCCGGGTATGTTTATTCGTTCCCACACACAATATTTGACGGCCATGGTCCGTGAATCGTTCGTGTGTAAGATGCTTCCGTTGCTCGGTTTTTCATTCAGACCATTCTTCAAACATTCAAGCAAACTCTTTCAAATGCATATTGAAAACTCCGCGGTCTAAAACCGACTAAAAACAACAGAAACGACGTCGTCAGGCTTTGAAAGACGTCTATCAGACATCCTAATCTCTCGCACGTCTCCCGTTTTTTGTTTAATTCACTTTCGCTCTTGCATTACGCGAGCGACGACGGCGGACGGGGGGCGTCTTTCACGCACGTCGGCGGTACTCCCTGTATATTATCGTAAAATCAAAACTCTGCAGTCCGCACGGAACTCACGATAGACCTCGATCATCGGTAGCTAACGTGTAGAGATAACGATTAAACCGGCGTTGAATTAGCGGCCACGAAAAACCCGACGCACGTTGCAATTCGGTCTCTGCATTCGGCGCGCGCGCGGGGGGCGCGAGGCGAGGGTCGCGAGGGCACGATATATATATAAATATACGCATAATTTTTATAATAAGACAATCGCGCGCCGGACTCGGATGCGCAGCTCGTGCCGGTCTCCTTATCGGACTTGGATACGCACAGCCCGATATCACGTACACGTTGCGACACGATGCATGGCCAAAAAGTCTTGTTCCTATTTCTCCTAGTGTGTATGTGTGTGTGTCTATACGATACGGCCGTATCGGTAACAAAAAAAAAAAAAAAAAGAAACGCAAAGAAGGAAAAGAAAAGAAGAGAAAAACAAACAGAAATAAATAGAAACTTGGTCTATATCGCAGCATCTTCCCGCAACGATCCGAACGCGTAGACGCCGCACGTGGCAATCTTATCTTGCGACCGCCAAGTCGGTTGTTTAAAATATTTCCATCGTATGTCAAACAACTGCGTTCGACGCGCCGAACGAAAGATCGGAACCGGAGTGAGAAAAGGCTAGAAGCTAATCGCTAACGCGCGATTAAATCCCGGTACGTGAAGAGGCGTGAACGGGCTTCTCTCGTTTAAATATAAATGCCTAGTACTTATAGTATTTTCATCGTTAATTTATTGACCCTAATGTAAAAGCGGCGACAGGGCCGGGAGCGGTTAATAGTCGACTGTGAGTGGCAGGGGGGGAGGGAGGGGGCGAAAAAGGACGAGAGGGCGTTAAAGAGGGTTGAAATGGGTACGACGCGGACATTGGGAATTAGCGGATCGTCGATATGTCATTAGCACAACGTTACGATAAAAACGTTCGCGGAAGGGATTATAGCGTTATTAATCGAAAGATCAGCGCGCATCTGCGATCCTGATCGCCAATGCTCGACACGTCGCCTCTATTTTCGCAGGGGCGCCGTCACGCGCTTCTCCATCTTCGAATTACATTTACGAATGTGGGGGAGATTGCGATGTGCACGCGAGGAGGGTGGGAGGGAGGGGGATGAGGAGGTCGACGGATACAATTACGACCTCGCGTAAGTCGACGCGAAAAGGCAAACACAGTTGTAACGTAGCTAGGCAGTGGCCTGTAGGAACGATCGAAGGGCGATATAATGATTTGGAGCTTGATGTGATATAATACTTATGTGCCAAATAGCGTTTTCGCGGGCGGGGGGTTTAATCAAAAAGAAAAAGGAAAAAAAAGAAGAGAGAGAGAGAAAAAACCTCTAGTTCCGAGTCGCCTCGTTGGCTCGACGTGAAACGAATTTTTTGCGTCTCCTCCTTTTTTCACGTTTTCTTCTTTTTGTTATTTATAATCAGTGCAATTACATACACACACGGTACCTAATATAATTTTATAAAGAGAGCCAGTATCCTCGATATATTCTGCACCCGTTTTGTTGGGGCTCGACCGGCATCAGATTTAGGGTAGCTTAATGTTGATAATAATTTATTTTATGTATATAATGGATTTGTACATTGTGTCGGGAGAGATAATCATTGATCCGCGGCCCGACACGAGCGTCAATATTATTAATGTACAGTGTAACTATATTGTGATGTATCTACGTAGCTACATTATATATGTAACTATTCGAAGTATGTAGATTAACAATGTTAAACGCGATATGTATTCTTATTTTCAATGTCATTATTATCTTTATTATTATCTTTATAATTATTATTATTATTATTGAGATGGCACCATTATTATTATTATTATTATCATTATTATAAATATTACAGTTATTAATATCGTTGCTTACTTAGTACACTATTATTTAAGTGACGAGCCTTATTATTTTTAGTAGCAAAAAGAAGGTTGTACGTGCCAGTTTTAGACAAGACGGCAAGTGGAAGTTCGTTGGTCGTTTTTATGCTCGAATACTCAATCAGATTTTAATGCAATATTTCTATGTTTTTCCTTCATTTGAGCCGTTTCCTTGGTCTGTGATGATTTCGGAATACTGCGTCTAGGAATTTCAATTTTATATCACATTCATAATTTTCACTTCAAAATTTTTAACTATTAAAAATGTGTTTCTCTTTCTAGATCAGTCTTTCGTCGTCCCAATTTTCAAAGGTAATATTTGAAAGAATTTGCAATTTTCTTTTGATCATTTTATTGTTAGACAATGGCAATTTTTTATTTAGCAGAAAGATGACATATTTCAGGTGAATGATCTGCCTATCTTGCATTTTCTTTTTGATTGTGCCATACCTTATGAATATTGAAAAAAGTTGTTTTCACGTTTGTAAAATTTTAAAATCAAACCACCTGACGAGATATTGTAACTCGCGCGTGCATAGAGTTCGTTGCAATAGAATTCGGGTCCGCGTTTCTCTCTTTTTTTTTTAAAGTCTCACCGATTCTTATTGTTGTCCCGGCAGTGTTTGCTTTGATGAAAATCGGTTCTGCATTCCATCGATTGCGATTTCTACCCACACGATGATCGTTGAAATTAGCAACGATATTAGTCCGTGGCGATCTCCTTACTTTCAGATATCACGAATGTTACGCGATAAATATATCAGCACACACAATTATTATATTTACTGGCCTTTACATGCAACCAATGCGAATGCAAACTGTAAGAATAGTAAATTGTAAATCGAATTACACTACTAATATTATAGTATATTTAACGTAAAGAAAAAGTGAACACTAACATCCGCTCTCAATATTCCAAGCATTCACTTCATTTACATGTACGTTGTTGTTAATGGTATAAAAAAAATATAATAAAATAACGCTTTACCGAAATTCAATCTTAGTTTTAGGGGTATACGACACTATTTCTAGATGAAAAAAAAACTTGTATGTATGAGGGATGTATATAGTTACGCAGTACTAGTGCAAATGAAGAGAGACCGAATGAGAGAGAAAGAGAGAGTGAAAGAGAGAACGAAAGAGTAAAAGAAAGAGGGAGAAAGAGTGAAAGGTAGAGAATATAAAAACCAGTCAGACGATGTGTGAGTGAAATAAAAATTCTCGCGATCATCTTAACACTACTCGTGTCGTGATCGTAGTACATTATCGGTATCAATAGCATAAAATCAAAATATATATTTAGGATGATGGGTAAAATCGCTACTGATAACACTACTTTAAATTTTATTTATTGATACATACTCACATAACGGAATAGTTTTCATCGCGGCAGTGTTAAGATGAACGTACAAAGCATACAGTAGAACAAAGGAAAAGTCATTCTTCGGAGCGCACACATGGTGCAGCGAAAAATTTCAAAGTGTCTGAAGATGTAGTGCGTTCTCGCACTTATTCGCAAAAACGAAACATCGTGTCTGAGAATACAATGACATTTTCGTCAAGTGTAACTGAATCTAAAATAGAAGTTTCATCAAGAACGCACCACACAAGCTGGCTGTGAGTCACGTGACTAACTCTCCTTCATTTTTTTCATTTTTTTTTTGACAAAGAGCGTACGCACACACTCATCACCATTGCTTAAAATACACGAACAAACATTGGGAAATTTCAATTATTTATTTCTGCTGACACGGGACCCAAGATGACTTTTCCTCATAGATAGAGACATCAAATGCACTGTATATCACAATAGAGAATAGCACTATTATAAACATAAAAAAATATGATTATATTTATTATAATTTGAAAGCTAGGTACTCTTTGTTGTTTGTATTTTACAAGCGTAATCATTATTATATATAAATAAATATGTGAAGTATATAAATGAATGTACACGTCTTTCATTTTGTTTTACATATGTGCAAAGAAAAGCTAGAGGAATTAGAAGAGAGTGACAACTGACCTAATGATAGCGGAAGTACATGGTTAATAAAAATAAGGTTTCATCTATTTGTGACTCCGTGGCCGACAGTTTCTTGATTGTATTTTGCGCTTTTTCAAGCTGCTCGGTCTCAGATGGCGTCATCATTTCTGCAATCTGCAAAAAGAAAAGGTGAAAATGTAAATGTTGTCATTTAATTCGCTGTTTTTGCGACTCGCATCGTAAAATATATGTTATAATTACATCAGCTAATTGCTGTTCCGTCGCGCCGTGTTCCTTCAAATTGGCAGAGAGTATCTGCACTCTCAATTGCTTCTCTATCATGCGTTTGTTACTAGCCGATTCATGCTCTCGTCTTGTCATAATGTTATACAATGCTTGATAACAATGTTCGATTTCCATTTCAACAATTTTGGTCAAATCGATGCAAAAGCGATAAGGTATTGACTTTGGCGGTAATAACGAATACGCGCTCTTCTTCATCTCGTGAGTCTGTATGTAATTCTCCTGCGACAGGACATATGTTAAGAATTTAGCTTCTTTTGCTGGAATCATCGCTAAATTCTGGATTTGTTCCAGATTAACATCGAGTTCATAGCGAAGTAGTCTGAAATTACAGAAAAGACAAATGATTAGGTAGAGAAGGCATACAATTGAAAATATTCTCTTTTTTACAGTAAAAAGCGAAATGTGAGACAATTAAATTTTTAGATAACTTACCTAAAAATTCTCGCAGCTTTGGAACCAAACCTCTCTGTTACGATATGCTCCAGAGTTGCCCATGTTAACTGTTTGAATGCATTCTTCATGTTAACACTATACTGCCCTCCACCTGAATCGCCAACTCGTTTGATGAATTGCGTACTGTCTTCTTCTAAAAGCCGCAAGTACTGATCGAGATAATGCTCGAGCTCTTCGTAATTCAACTTCTTCACTTCCTCTTTTATTTCGGTATATGGAATCGGATTTGACGTATCTGCCCAAGATGCAGTTCGCAAGTACATCAAATTGATCAACTGTCTCATTAATTCTCCAGCATTTTTGTCAAATTTTTGCGTCACGGCTGATATAACGATTTGATCCCTAATACAAATCACATGTTAATATTTTACAATCGGAGATTATTGTAGATATTACCTAAGAGATTATTATAGACCTTACCTAAGATCTTGAGTGAGTCGATCAAAATTGACTTTCCAATATATTTTACTATCGGTAAGTTCAGCATTTTTTCCTTGCAACGCGTTGGAAATGGCCGGCAAATCAAGATTCGGTAAGTTATAATTCGGTTTTTTACTATCTTCTGCCATCGTCTCAAAAGATGTATTTCGCATTAAAAATTGATTTTTCACCAATAACTCAAACACATCTTTTAAATTTGGGATTGAAGGCGGTTGAGTAGCTAAAAAGATATTGGATAATTAGTACAAAAAATCATGGAGTTCGTTATATTACACTGGAATAGTAGAAAATAACTTTTAAAGAAAACAGAACACCGGATGAAAATATATAATAATTTTGAATCGTACATTTAGATGGGGCATATTCAATTCGTTTGTACGTTTTCATTATTACTTCAGATGCAGTGATGAATCCCTGTTTTAACACCTCTTCCAACATGATTTCACCCTCATCTCCACAGTAAGTTTTTGCAAAAAGCATGTATCTGTAATGAATAATATTTATGATATTTCCAATATAAGACAAATTATATTACACGATACAATTAAAATTCTTATTTCAGTAAATTAGAATACCTTGGATAGCGAAAGATCATAATAATTTTGCTTTGATGTAAAGTATACTCAGTGTTCTCCTCAGTATTCTCCTTTTTGTGGTAAGTAACAAACCCATACTTTATGAGGACACTTAATCCTTCTTTTATCTAAATGGGATAATAAAATAAAGGATGTTAGCAAACGACAAGTTTTGAATGAGATATTAATGTATGCTTTCTATTTAGTCACGCAAGTTGGTACAAGCATCATTCTGTCTTTGTTGTCACTGGATGTTGAAAAAAGGTAGAATAACACTTGTGTCGACTTGTATCGCTAAATGGAAAACACCCAATGAGTACGAGATATTAATAAATACAAAATGTATATTTCAACATAGGATGGAATTCATAATCCAATCTTATATTCAAGAATATCCAAAGCATAATTTTGAGATGCCATATGATTGTTTCATTATTTTGATCTTAATCCAGAAATGGTCACCTTCCAGAGACACCCCAGCAGCGAGAAAATGAAGCTCAATTAGTAGTTTTCTTTATTGAATCCATACCTATTTTTACTCTTTACTTTTAAAAAAAATATTGAATATAAATTTACATACATAATAATCTTAAACACAAAAATAATCTATCGAACAATGAATATACAAGATGTAATAATAGTAATTTTTAATTGGGATGCAAAAAACACTCCATGTTTACGCAAAAAAACCTAGGTGACTATCCCCGCATTTAAGTTTCAATGACCAGACTTACGACAATCTTGAATACAAACTTGGACTTATGAGTATTACACTTCATTAATATGCAACAAGCGGTATCATTATTTACCTTTCTTTTGGGTAAACGTGTTCCATAACATATTGCAGGTATTGTTTTCGTTCCATACAATAAAGAATTACCGATGCGCCGTATGATTGGGCCGAGAAATTCTTCTAATAATAATACACACAATTTATTATAAAAGTCTTTCATAGCTAACCTCACGTGGTCAGAGAGAAACGTGAGAGCGGCCACGCCGGCTTTTTGTGGGTGGGAGTGGGACCAGGTGGGACGGGCGATCTCCCCCGTACAGTAGCGCCCCACGTCCACGTTTTCAAAAAGCGAACTACGTCCATCTTAACATTGTCGATATCATAGCTTGAGAACGTGGACGTGGTTCGTGTCCGTGCTAATCGTGCACTTCTCTCTGATGCAGGAATGCGAGTAGGTTAGTTAGACAAGGACTGACATCAATGTCGGTCAATCCTTGTTTCACCAACACAGAGCTCGAGCCGCAATACCACGTGTGGATGCGCATCAAATCGCATGTGGTAATTTCAACAATCACAATTGATTTCACATGTCGACCAATAAGCGATGTTAGCCAATCAGAGTAATTCCACGCGTGACGCGCCTAGTGGGAACGCACCCTAAGAGGCAGCACGGTGGATGATTATTAGTTTATTACTAATGCAGTGAAAAAACTACTGAGATGTAGTGGCACTGCTGGTGCGGTCACTAGAATTCCTAGGGAATACTTGAATACTCGTTCCTGCACCTGCACTACGCAACTCTCATCAGCCGCACTCGATGTATGAAACAGCAAAAAAAAAAACAGATAAGAAAAACTGCAAACGCTGCAGACGTTGCATAATTCCTGTCGCTTCGTGACTTCCGCGTGACTTTGGACACTCTACATTTTTCTTCGACGTTTCGGTCGGAAAACGGTCTCGATGAAACTCTATTTTTTTATGTCAAAAGTTTCAGCGAAATAATCGAAGCCCGGAAAGTATGCTCTCGACAAGCATTCATCGCGGCACGCGGATACGCGCGCTCCCAAGAGTTCCAAGGGAGCGTTCGCCCTCGAACTCGATTGGAAGATCGACCGGAGAGCGTAACCGCCGCTTGAACCGTGCGGCACCGTGGTAGCAACGCTTCCGGCGGAACAGCATTGCCGCGGACGATCACGTGATCGAGGATCGACTTCTTCGTTTGTGGCCACGAGGTTTTGTGGGTGAAAATTAAGTTTTACCGGGTGGAATAGGCCCCCTATTTTTGTAGTTATACAAAAATGCCCTCCAGCAACCCGTTGCCACCCAAAGAAAATGCCCTGTTCAAGCGGATCCTGGTGAGTAGAGGCCGATCAAAATACTCGTGTTTTGGACCCCACTCTCCGGCGAGTCCGGGGTGCATGCACACTAATGCCCGTGTGCTCGTTAATGATGAAGCATTCCTACGCGGGGGGACGAAAAAATGGGAAATGGTCACTGGCGACCGCGCGACGCGGCCGCCCGCTTGGCGTCACGGGCGAAAGCCCGTCTCGCCCCGGCGACACGCCGCGACGATCCGCGCCGTCGATCCCCGCACGGACGCGAGGATACGAGAATCCGCCGTGACTCGCCCCCCCCCCCCCTCCTCCTACCTAACCCTACAAAATGCATTTTCACGGTATGCGCCCCGTGCGCACGGTGGCCTCCCTTTTCTTTTTTACAGAGATGCTACGAACACAAACAATACAAAAATGGGCTGAAGTTCGCGAAACAGATCCTGTCAAATCCCAAGTTCAGCGAGCATGGGGAGACCTTGGCGATGAAGGGTCTCACCCTGAACTGCCTGGGCCGCAAGGAAGAAGCCTACGATCATGTGCGCCGCGGCCTCAGGAATGACCTACAGTCCCACGTGTGCTGGCACGTCTATGGTCTTCTGCAGCGCTCCGACAAGAAGTACGACGAGGCTATCAAGTGTTACAGGAACGCGCTCAAGTGGGACAAGGACAACATACAAATTCTTAGGGATCTCTCGTTGCTACAAATCCAGATGCGGGATCTGGAAGGTTACAAGGTAAATATCCCAGAGAGAGAAAGAGTCTTTTCATTTCTTACCTTGTATATACATCATATTCCAACGCCATATAAATATTGTATTTTAATTACTTACTACGAATGTTGATTACTTTCTTACAGGACACCAGATATCAGTTGTTTATGTTACGTCCCACTCAACGAGCTTCTTGGATCGGATTTGCTATTTCATATCATTTGTTGAGAGATTATGAGATGGCATTGAAAATTCTAGACACCTTTCGGAATTCTCCAATGGTACGTTATTTACACATATACAAGATCTTGGTATAAAAATTAAAACATCGAATAAAAATATTTAATACGATCCACAGATTTGTTACGATTATGAACATAGTGAGTTGTTATTGTATCAAAATATGGTCATCCAGGAGTCAGGGGAATGCGAACAGGCGTTAAAACATTTAGACAAGTATAGTGATCAAATTTGTGACAAGGTCACTGTCAAAGAGACTTACGGTAAGTGTTCCACATTGTTTTTCAAGTTGTACGTTCAGTATACTTCTGTTATGAATACTTCTTTAATGCATCTCGTAAACCGCCTTCTAGGTAAACTAAGACTTCAACTGAAACAGTACGCGGAAGCGGAACAAGTTTACAAGGAGCTGTTAGATATTAATCCTGAAAACACAACGTATTACACTAGGCTAGCAGAGGCTGAGAAACACTCCTCACCGAGCGAAACGTTGCATATGCTCCAAAGATACGAAGAACTCTTCCCTCGAGCGTTAGCGCCCCGCCGTTTACAACTCAATTACGCAACAGGAGATGACTTTAAAGTCTTAGTTGATCGATATTTACGGAAAGGTATACTAATTTTTTTTTGTGCAAAGACAATCTTCCTGCTGCGCGCAGTTATTTAATCAAATGAGGTCTTCGCAGTTTCATTTAATCAAATTCATACTTTTCTTAGGGCTTCACAAAGGTGTACCGCCGTTATTTGTCAATCTTCGTTCATTGTATACCGATAAGGAAAAGGTCGAAATCATATCATCACTACTTGTGCAATACAAGGAGGCATTAAAACTTCACGGCCATTTTAGCGATCAAGAGAAGGATAATCCGCGAGAGCCAGCATCCGCGCTACTGTGGACCTACTATTATCTAGCGCAACATTACGATTACCTCGGTCAAACAGAAAAAGCATTGATTGAGATTGATGCTGCCATAGATCATACTCCTACGCTTATAGAACTTTTTGTTACCAAAGGACGCATTTATAAGGTAAATTATGATACAACATTTTATAACATCATAACAATTCTGTTATTCTGATAACGTCACAAACATTGAAGAACCATGGCATTCTTTAGTTTTATTAGATTTACAATTTTTATAAGAAGTCTCTTGTTTAATATCTATACTCTGGAGGACTGAGCTTGTTAATTTATTTATTGTTTGAAAGTTTCTATTCAAGAGACAGTATTACAATTTGCTTATCCCTAATAGCTTTAGAGTTAAGTTTATGTTTTGAATCCTTTATTTTCATTATAATATTTTGTTTTTACTCAAAATTCCTAGTGTAATATATGCGGAGTGAGAATCGTAGGAATCGAACCTGGATTTTTGCTTAACAGACAATTGCTCTATCATTGAGATATCTGGCACTCCGCATAATCTTATACACGAATATTTATTATAAAGCATAATGTGAGAGATGTGCGATCTGAAAAGATATTCGTATGTTACAGCACGCTGGGAATGTTCAAGAAGCTTACAAGTGGCTGGACGAGGCGCAGGGGTTGGACACGGCTGACCGATATATTAACTCCAAATGTGCCAAGTATATGCTCCGTGCGAATCTTATTAAAGAAGCGGAGGAGACGTGCGGAAAGTTCACGAGGGAAGGAGTCTTAGCTATGGAAAACCTGAACGAAATGCAGTGCATGTGGATTCAAACGGAGGCGGCCAACGCGTACAAACGTCTTGGAAAATATGGGGAGGCGTTGAAAAAATGTCACGAAGTTGACAGGGTAGGTAGTAGTTTATTATGTACTGAGGTGCGTTCAGGATTTCACGGTATATTATTTTATCTTTGTTATTTATCGAATATTAAACAAAGATAAAATGATATACCGTGAATCCCTGAACGCACCTCAGTACACAATACCTAGATGCATCTGGGCGAAGTTTCTGAACGCAGCCCTGTATGCATTTCAGATATATGTTATATAATCTCTTATTGCAATATCACGATTGTATTTGCAGCATTTTTCGGAAATCATAGAGGACCAATTCGACTTTCATACATATTGCATGCGGAAAATGACGTTGCGATCTTACGTGGGTCTCCTAAGGCTAGAAGACATTCTCCGAGCTCATCCGTTCTACTTCAAAGCAGCAAGATGTGCAATGGAGGTTTATATACGGCTGCACGATTATCCCTTGCCAGATCCAGCGCAAACGCAAGAAATCGACACTGGTGAGTACTGCTACTTATCAAAATGATCTTTTTCAACAGCCAGTAGCGCATAGTATATCTTTTATAAATTTTTAATTTGAATTCAATTAAATGCCATGCAGATTATGTCACAAACTTAAATTTAATTTAACAGAAAATGCGGAATTATACGTAAATTACTGGCTGTTCAAATGTTAAGACTTATTTATAGAAACTAGTATAAAATTTTTCTAATTGAATTGATTGCAATTAAATGCATAACGTGATCTTTGTACATCTGTAAACTATCGTTTGAAAAATATCTTATACGAAAAATTACAATGTCAATGACAATTTATACGATATTTACGGAAAATAAGATATATAAATAATCAACAGGTTTAGGAGAGGCCATTTTATACTAATCCATATAAAAAATTCTCTAAAATTCAGATTACAGTAGATAAAGAGATTTGCATTAATACTTGTTATTTCATATATATTTATTCAACTTCGCATTCCGCACATAGAGAAAAACTTGGGAAAAAAGATTCGCGACGCAACGCCACAATCTGCCAAAGCGCGTACATAAGATAGACAATAGTAACTATGTAAATGTACACGAATAATTCCATTAATCACAGATAATGCGAAAATATGCGATGACGAGGCGCATACTACAAGATCGCATACGCGAGTATACAGATCGCACATCTATTATTCTAAGGCGGGGGAGGTCAGGTTGCATAATAAATTACGCGTTTATCGTAAAACAACGTAGCTATAATTATCTAACTTAGTCAATTCGTATTTACAAGTACAATAAATATATTAATAATTACGCGTGTATGTGTATATGTGCGCGGCCGACACGCGCGCGCAGAGGCGATAACGCCGATCACTTCGCGCGCTGGACATTCCGCGAGACTATGGCATTGCGCGCGACTGCCGTTGGATACGCGCGCCCCGGACGTTACCCTGGCCGTCTCCGTAATCGCGGCCCCCTGGGCTTCGGATAGACGTATCCATCGTTCTGATCCTGCCGTTGCGTGATCGCCTGCGGCGTCAGGAAGTAAAAGTGGCCGACGTCGCCGGGCAGCCGGTACGCGAAGTAGGCGTTCGGATTGTCCGAGCGATGGTCCTGCACCGTCACGGGATCGATGAATTCGGCGTCGGGATTCACGGCGGGACGCGGATTCCTGTAGTTGACCTCTATGTCGTCCAGCAGCGACACGGGCTCCCGCACGTTCTCCAGCTCCTCCCGGGACTCGGAGAAAGGCGCGAAATTGTTGGTGTGTCCGCCGGCCGGCGGTATCGTGCCGCGCAACCTGTAACGAGGGGTCGGCCCGTGCTGTTGAACTCCCTGATTTTGCAATCGATAGTTTCCCGTCTGCAGCTCGTAGCTCGGTAACGGCCGCTTCGGATGCTTAGGTGGCTCGACTATCTCGATGAACTCGCTGTCCGGATTGATCGGCGGCAGGGGTCGCCGGTAGTTGACGAGGGTGTCGTCCTTGAGGGAATAGGGCCGCTGCGACTGATCCCCGTAGCGCACTTTGACGTTGGGCGTCTTGTAATTTACCGGCCGACCGGTCTTGTAGACATTCGACACGTAGGCGTTCACGCCGTGGTCAGGTTTCTCCGTGGCGCTGCTCGATTTCCCGTAGATCGGGGTCGTGCTCGATATCCGCGTGTCCTGTAATTTCTTACCGAAGATCGTGAAGTACTCTTTCGTAACGTCGTCCAACAGCTTCTCGTCTTGCTGCGTGAAGTACGCGTATTGCGGATTGGGCGTCGTGTCTACGATCGGATAGGCGGTGCTCGTGGCGTAGACCGGATGTTGCGTGTTGTACGACACTTGTTTCCGCGGCGATTGATGTCGCGACGGGGAATCGATGTTCTCGTAATCGTACTGTCGATTGCCGCTCTTGATGTCCTGATACTCGCTGTATACAGACGCATCCTGCTGCTGCTGTTGCTGCTGCTGCTGCTGCTGCTGTTGCTCCGCCCCGTGATATCGCGATCTCTGATTGCCGAGTTTCGAGTAATCCGCTATCTGGAAGCTGTACTGATAGATCGGCTTGGGCTTCGTGGTCTGTCGATAGTACGTCTGCGGCTTCGGAGTCGTGTACGTCTGCAGCGGACGCGCGGGTACAGATTGATAGTAAACGGACGGCTGGTCGCCCAGCATACGCTGGCTCTGATCTCGCGACGAGCCGACGTCGAATTTCGCGGACGTGGCCTCCGACTCGTCGGTGTACTGGAACGTCTGCGAATTCTTCACGATATTGTCGATCAGCTTCACCTTGTAGTCCTTCGGGGTCTCGACCGGCGGGATCGTTTCGACGGCTGCATAATAGTGCTTCTTCTGATTATTCTGCCGCGACGTCTCAACGTACGGCGACTTCGTGGTGGACTCGTAATAAACAGGCGACGGTTTTGCTGTGACGTCCGTATTTTCGTCGGTCGACTCCTCGTAGAAGTAGTAGGACGCGTGGTTGGGAGACCGACCGGGCTGACTAGTGGTGATGATGCTCTTTATGGAGGCCGGGGTGACCTCCACTGGTCGTTCCAACGACGATTGCGTGGTCGACGGGTAGTACGCGAAAACCGGGATTGTCTTGCTCGTCACCAGAGTGGACCAGTCCTTCTGCTGAGTCGTCGCCTCGGACACCTGATTCCCGATTACGGGGCTGATGGTGTATATCTCGGTATTCTCGAGAGTGTGCGGTTTCCCAGAGGCCGACGTCGTGACTTTCGCGCTAGGCACGGTCGTCTCTTTATGTTTGAATGTGCTCGTTGCATTCTTCGTCATAATCCGACCGAAGGATATTTTTGTGGAGGTCGACGACGAGGTGCTTGTCTTGGTTACCAGATTCGTCGGAACGGACGAGGCCTTGTTGTGTTTAGTCGTGGCCTTTCTCGGCGGCAGATACGTCGGCCGAGTCTCCGGCGAGGATGTGGTCGTCGGTCGCTTGGTGTACTTCTTCGTGGTAGTTTTCTTATCGTCCAGAGAAGAGAAGAAGTCTGGTGGCGGGGGCAGGATGATGCCGGGCACCAGGGGTCCCGGCGGCACGGCCGTCGTATTGTCTTGCGGATAATAGAAACTATACGGCGGCGGATAGTAGATGGACTGATCCTCGTCGTCGTAGTCCGACTGATTACCCGGCGGCGGCACGAAGATCGCGCCGGGCGGTATGGCGTGATAGAAAGGCGGAAGGGCGCCGTGCGGCGGCTGAGGGTGTTCCGGTTTTATTCCCTTCTGATCGTTGCTACCCCTCGACGACTTTTCCTCGACGGAAAAATTTCCCAAAGGACCGAAGTCCGGGGTGAATACCGTGCCGTTCGGAGAGATTCCGAAGAACGGATCCTCTCCGGGTAATAACCCCTTGTAGAGAGGATTCGTGTTGTAGTCGAGGGTACCGTTGCCAATCTCCTCCGCGGTGCCGTTTGGGCCGATAATCTGTAGCGGTCCCCCTTCCGTGAGTTGTACCGGAAAGGGCGGCGGTACCTTCGGTCGCGCTGGTATCTTGACCTGTCGTTTGGGCGCCTTGTAATCGTCGATGGGCGGCCATCTGGGCTGCTCGTCGTCGCCGCTCTGCTGCTGGCCGTCCTGTTCATGTTCAGGAAACTTCCCGCCCTTCAGCACCAGCACGTGGTTCTCGGCCAGCCAGATCTCGTCCTCGTCGAGGCCACCCAGATTGTCGATCGTGTCCTTCGGCACCTCCGGATTGCCGAGGTAGCTGATGATGCCGGGCCGTTTCGGGCGCTCGCCGTAAATCTCGTTCTGTATGAGGCCGTACTTGCCCTCCTTGACCTGCTGGGAGAGTGTCTTTTTCCCGTCCTCGTCGTCGCTGCCACCACCGTCGCCGCCGCCGCCTCGATTATTTTTCCCCTCCTTGCCGTTGCCGGCCGCCGACATGAGAATTCCATCGTCCCATAGCGACTCGCCGTCATCATCGTGATGGCGCTTCGTATCGATTTTCAGGTGACCCCCGATCAGATGGTGAGACACTTTTCTTCCGGATTCCGCGGTGATCTTGTTGGTCGTCGTGCTGCTGCTGCTGCTGCTGCTCGGCAATCTCATGCCCCAACTGTCGGACGTCGCGTGTTCCTTGCCCGAACGATGACTAGATTCCTCGATACCGATGTGCCTCCTATCCCTGGTCGTTGACGATTCCGTTACGATCGCGCATGTCGCTATCAGCATTAGAACTAGTGACAGCCTCCGCGGAGATAATGCGAGATGCGTCATCTGAAAGTAGACACGATGCTCGTGTTATTTATCTCTTACTCTCGACTATAGTATATACCTATATATTTCGTATAATACTGTGAGAAAATTGTATTTTTATCCCGCGATCGAAAAGCAATCATTTTCATCTCGCGCAAGATGACAGTGTGACGGGAACGTAAACTCCCACGTATCTTGATACGCACTTTTCTGCAGATGCTAGATACGTAATTAAATCGTACACGCTTTATTCTTCGCGCTGCGCGAAATGATCTCCGCGTTTAATAGGTCAGTAAAAGACGTTGCGTTATGCGCGGCATATAAAACAGTTTATTATTCACAATGACCGGAATTACATACATTCGTAGACGTCGGTAGACGCGGTTTTCTACCGTATGTCAAGGATCTAATTGTGCAACGATGCCAATTAAGTACTAAGTCACGAACAAAGCCGTATGTTTATTCGCATCCCAGCCAGGCCATTGCTGCTGCCCCGCAATTTAGTCTTGCGGTAACAAAGATACACGCTACTAATGGTTCTTGCTCCATTTTACAAATCGTGCCGCTGTAAAATCTCTGAAATATTTTCCACGTTTTATTTTCAAATGTCCGCCGTTATTTTACCAACCAGTCGCGTTTTATTTTCAAACGTTTCGTTATTTTACCGACCAGTTGCTCGATTCGAGAGAACACCGGACACGGAATGCTGAAAAAGAAAACGTAAATGTCAAACGATTCGATACCCCGGGACTCGATTCCTTGAGATTTCAGCTCGCCCGAGAGTATCGTGAGACGAGAGCAATTTTCGCGAATATCGCGCGCCAATCTTCTGTACGTATCGGCGGTTGATCTCTCGAGACCTTACGCTCGTACATTCGGAGAATTCGTTAATTCCACCGCAGTTCGGATTGCGGTGATACGAGAATGCGATATTGAGGGGGCTGCCACGCCTTTCCCCGGCGTGCAGACCGGTGAACGTTCGACAAACATTCACGGGTCACTGGAGTACCCGGCCGACTCCGTAATGACTCGCGACTGAGTAACGAACCGGTGCGAGCGCGGCGAGTAGGTAGGTTTCCTGTAGGCATATATACCGCCGATGCATTAAACCGTCGAACACGAGCGCACGTTGCCGCAACGCGCGCGCACGGCTTGTGTATAAGTTTGCGGAAGTAACGCCAGCGCGAGCAACACGATAATGCGCTTCCGACAGGCCCGCGCGGACGTCGACTCCGTATCTCTCTTCATATTTCTACTTTTTTTTTCTAAAAACCAACTTCCTTTCGATTCATTTATCCGCGGATCCAAGGATGCGTCCTACGCCTATTTTGATACATTAATTGCTCACTTCACAGTCGCTATAAATAGAAAGTCGTTATATAAATAACATTATGCAAGCAGTATGTGATTTGGATTGAAATATCCTTCATACACTCATAATAAAATTATCAATTGCATAATTGTACACCGCAGTATCGCGAGTTTAAGTATCAATCTCGTTAACCACAACGGTTTTTTTTTTTTATTACAATCCCACGATTGCCACAGCTTTTCGAGGAAACATGTTCGCGATCGGTTTTCCTGCGAATTCCAAATTGTATTTAATGAATGCGGTATCAAGGTGTACCTTTCTCCGTACATCCGGAACGGTACGCTCAACGTTTGCTGTGGGATTTCTGGTATGTCGCTGAATTGCTGTAATTGTAACCGCCACATGCGATAATGCGCCTTCCTCAGGAGAACCCGGCGAGGTGGTTCCCGTCCAGTTCGCGATAAGAGAGGCAAAATGCCTTATGTGAATGCGCACTCGATTTCTTCGCGCACAAGCGAGACTGCTTAATTTACGCGCGCTACGTGATGGATCGGACTGCGTTTATCCGCGCGTAGCAAGAGGAATCAATGAAACACACGTAACACCGTTCGCACGTGGTCAAAGTCGTCAACACGTCCTTAACACTTGCGGACAGGCCGCGTGATTCATCGCGAGTGTTGCACATAAATATTGTAATACTTCCGGAAACTCGCCGCCGAGTTCTTATAAATCACCACCTGTATCCCGCAAAAATCATCGTTACCTCTCAGCGGACACTTTGAATTACTCGGATTTTCAAATATTTTTAAATGAATTAGAGTATCAAACGGCGATCCCAAAATTGCACGCGCGTAAGTCGCGATATGAATTTTCTTTGTGAAATCATCCTTGCGCTCTCCGTCGCGCTTCGATAAGTCAGATTGGCCGCGGGTACCTCCATTGTGCACTCACCGACGGGTTTGCTCTACGACTTAGCATACTCACTTTCCGACATTTAAACCGACACTGCCCACAACACTGCACGGAACGATTGATGGTTCTACTTTGTAGAAGAAAATCGCGTCTCGCGGTACGCGTTTTACTAACGGGACCGGTTTCTCTCGATTGCGCTCGAGCTACGCCCGCGATCCCCGGCGCTGCATTAAATCACGTACATAAAGGCGATTTTCCCACGTTTAAGGTGCGTATCCGTCAATTAATCTTCCCCGAAGATTATACGCCGTTCGTCGAGCCCGCGCGCCGATAAGCGGCCGCCGGCCGTTTTCGGTACTTTCGATCGTGGTGGTGATTGGAGAAATGACGCGTCGGGCCTCGAGGGAACCGCGGGTACGACCGCTCGTACCGGCATGGTACACGTGACTGGCGGATTTTCATCACCCTCTCCCGGTGTACCGGGGGGCCCCCCAAGGACGTTCGTCGGGGAAGGTGGAGCCGTTTCCAAGCGGTAGCGAGAATATACGTTGCACGGCCGCACCGCGGTGGAAAGGAGGAAGTCGCGGCCGGTTCGTACGATTAACGATCGTAATTAGATCGTTGCCTTCGTGTCTGGCATTATTTCAACGTCGCTGATTACCTCGAGGGTGGGTGTTTTATGCGCGACTGTCCTCGCGCGAGGACACGTAACTTCGGAAAGAAACGTATACAATAAGCGGCGGCGTATAGTGTCGCCCTGGCTCCTTTCACTTCTGTCGGCGCAATCGGCGCCGCGCCGCGCCGGTCTGATTTTGCTTACTTTTCAGGGCGATAATATACTCACGTGACGAAGCGCGGCGAAAGAATCGCCGCCGCGCATTTGCTCGGATTATATCCGCGCGCGATTGCCCAACCATCCGGTAACAAAACCTTTTTGTGCAAACGGCAATAAGCGCGCGCGCGGTATAATACTCATAAATCACGCCGATAGTATACATTCCGGCTTCGCCGTCCGACTTCTGCCGCTCTTGCCTCGAACAAAGTTCGTTGAATAGACCAGTTCTCGGGTCATTCGCCGAAATTGCGATCTTGAATCGGCCCGTCGGACGCCTTTTGACGCCTGGATCTGATAGCTATTAAAGTTCGAGCTTTGTCGACCGCTCGCGATTCGTGTCGGAGAGCTCAGAATAATCGTCCGTTCCTTCGCCCCGCGCGCGTTTTGCACGCAATTTTCACACAAAGCGCGTAATGACCGAGATATATATATATATATATATATATTGCAAAATAGGCCGGCCGTACGTCGCCAAAATGAAAGGCGGCCTGTTGCCGCAAGACGAAAGTCCGAAGGATTTTTCGAGGCGTGATGCAAGACGGCCGGGCCGCGCAAGATTCCCGCTGGCAGGTGCCGTTACGTTGCCTCTGCAACGAGGTCTGATCTAGTTAAACGTTCGGGAACCAGACGTTTGCCGTTACGACTGGCAGCGGATCGCTTTGATCTCACTCGTCAAATTGGAAAAAGTCGGGAACTAGTTTCGAGATAGACGTGGCGTAATAATTATAACTCTCGCACGAGAGCTTTTACTTGGAAACTCGAAGGGAAGAGTTATTTTCTTCCTGATAGTTAAAGAGAAAAGTTCCTTTCCTAGCTAATGAAATTCACCACATCTTTATATTTGTCAGCGCATTTACTGCGTTATTATTTTTTTTTTTTGTAGCAAGTATCTGTTTCGATATTATCACGACGAATATCGATTACTGTCGTTAAGAACACTTTGTATTTAGCCGCAGCGTCGGCGTGTAACGCTATTCAAATCAGTTCGCGCGAGTGCAATTTATCGGTCACACACCGATATGTCCCGGAACATAACGGAAGTTGACCTTGGATCTGGGCCATCAAAGGCGTCCCACGGTTAAGATAAAACGGCATTGAGCCATCGCACTAGTTCCGCGAGAGTGAAAGGCCGGCCTGGCGCGGAACGAGATCCTTTGCAGAACAGCCTCACGTTGATTCATCAGATCGATATCGTTCGTTTTGTCAGGTCGATCGTGTATACCGCGATCGTAACGTGATTAGCAGCCACGATGTACCGTTCGTTTCAGCTGGAGAGTATCTATTTGCGTCGTTATCGAGAATGCAGATCGTGTCACTTCTGATATTTTGAGAGTTCAATTGGTTGGAAAATCTATCGATTTTTTTTGCGATTAGCCAGCTCGCTCATCCTCAGCCGAGAGCGAGTACCAGTAATACGGTGTACGTGGGAGCCACGTAAGAGCCGACGGTTATCTACCGTTATCCAATTGAATTTACGCTTTCAACTACTTTCCTTTTTGTTTCGCTGGTCGTGGTCGCTGAGCAAGCAGCATTAATTTCTCGACGCTGCCGCGTTTGACTTTCGGCGCGTCGTAATAACGATTTTACGGCCGCGCGTAGAAACTTTGGGGTGCACACTCTCGAAAGTATACGCGGCCGGGCGCACCTTCGCTCACAGGAAATCGATAATCGACTATAAAACGCCGCAGCATCCTGCGCGACGACGCGCATCACGCTCGCGAGCGCGGCGCGCTTCTTTATTTAATGACTCTCCATTAACAATTTATAACCACCCTATTTTCGGTGCCAGGCTCTCGAGTTAGGCGCTCTCCGCGTTGCCACGGTACATTATTTTCCAAACGTGTAATTTGTTACATTTCTTTACGGATCTGCATGTTTGCGTAAGAGCGATAAAACCGGGAGAAAGTTAAAACATGAAATGCGTGAGGTGTCCCGGGTGTACCGGGGAATTATCTCTATCGC